GAAAGGTCTTATTTTTAATTCTATTTTTATTATCTAGTTAAAGAATTATGAGGCAATGTTCTATATATCATATGAGATCTATCCAACTTGTAAAATATTTGTCTAATTTAGAAGGTAAGTTTTCAACATATAAGCTATATGGCCAACTTATATTACAAATAGCTAAAATGCGCAATATGTGTCAACTTATAAAATAATTGGTCAATATGTGTAATATATAGCTAACTTTTTTATTAAGATTTTAACCTACCATTCACTTATAAATATTTATAAAATAAAATTTGCATCTAAAAAACCTTTAAAGAAGCTTATTTATAACATATTATTAAATTTATCTATTATAAAGTACTATTATCTTATTCTTCTTATCTTAATAATTATAAATATTAATATGTACATCTATGACATTATTTTTTTAAAAAATAAGCACCACAAAGAAGGGTTATTACATATTAAACAAGTCCAAGGTGTAAAAAATTAGATTTGACACATATTTTGATTTTCGATTTTTTTAAAAGTTAATTCATAAGCTGTTTTATTTACTGATAGTGTCTATATAATAATTAAAATAATAATATATTATTTAATTAATACTATTTTTTTATAAAAAAATAAAATAAAATATTTGAAACACAATCAAAACTAGTCTCTATTTCTATAAGTATCACCAAACATTGAAAGTCTCTTATAAAGTTGTAATATCAAATATATTGTATCTTTTTAAGAAATAAATGCAATGCCTTGGATATACCTATTAAAGCTTCAGTATACAAAGCCTTAAAATTTCAAAATAATTTCTTCTTTTTTTATTCATAAAGACTTTAGTAGGTGATTCAAAATAAGCCAACATACAATCAAAATAAGCCATAGTTGCCAACTTTGAAGAATTTTGGGACAAAGCCACGAGTTTAATTTTCTTACTAAAATGCTTCACTATTACTAAAATATATATATTTTCACATGGAATAATAATAAATAGCCTAATAAAATCAATAAACCAATAATAGTCCAAATCTATGACTATTAAAAGCCTCGATTAAGATAATAAAGTATTAAAACTCAACATAATTTAATTATATATTTTACATAAAAAATAAAAAATAAAAAAATGTGGCAATCTCTTAATACAGGGCAATTCACCATCATTGATTGCATAACATAAAATATATTATGTGCACCTCAAAATGTCTAAATTCCTTATTTATTTATTGTATTAAAAAAGCTTTATGATCTAACCTTGGAACTATATTCTTAGCTTTATTAGACCACACATAAAATAAAAATTATTTTCTCAACAAAATATTATTATTCTATGACTAATCCTATCTTGTTTCATAGCAAAGGTAAGTAAAAACAATGTCTCTTATTGAAGTTTGTACAAGACTACAAGGTCCTTTTGTACATGGCTAATCACTTAGATTCTATTAATTTTTTTTATTTAAGCATTAATCAAGCACCACAAATGTAGAGCTTGATAATAAAATAAGATATGTTGTTGCATATCAACTAAGAATTATCTCTCTATTTTTGTTGTATTATGTAAAAACTAACTTGAAAATACACCAAAAATTTGATAAAAGAAAAGTTTAAATTTATCTTGAAGCTTGATTTATAATCCAAAATAATTTATAAGATATTTATAAACACTATTTTTTATCCTTGGACAATCCAAATAAGCTTGTAATTATCTTTAAAATATCTTATCAAATTTTAAAAAATCATAGATAAATCATATCATACTCTAATTAATTTTAAAATAATCCTTAAAAATTCTTTAATATACTTTAATTAAATCTCAATAAAATTCTATTAAAATTTTAAACAAATAATAATTAAATTTTAATTAAATTATATCTAAATCCTAATAAAATTCTAAGAAAATTCTAACCAAATTCTTAATCCTAAATTCTAATCAAATCCTATTCAATCCTTAATAAAACTTTAAATCCTAAAAAAATAATAATAAAATCTTAAACAAATCTTAAACCTTAAATAAAGCCTAATTAAACCTTCACCAAATTCTAAAGCAAAATAATAACTTAATAATTAATAACTTAATTATTACTTTCAATTCAAAAAAATTACAACCTTTAATTTCTTAGTTGAAAATAAGTACAACAATTTTGAAAAAAATCAAGCATATCAAATAGAAGATAATCTTTATAATCCACTTGGATATTGGCTAGCCTCAATTTCCAAACCTTGATGTCAATCTTCTAGAGCTAATATCTCTTGAATTCATTATTTAGTTGCTTTTAAAATTTTCACAATTGAAAAAAAAAACAATTATGTAATTAGTTTCCAAAATTTTATCTTAATCCAACTAAAAAATTACTAAAAATCTTAGAAATCTTTTATGGTCCTTCAAACTTCAATATATATATTGATTTCAATAATCTTCAAATCAACTATTTCATCAAGCTCAAACTCAAAATACACATTCAAAATAAATATGGTTACACAACTACAAAATTTCACTTGTAGATCTATTCAAATTCTTTCAAGTATAAATCTTGTATATTTGTATTAAAAAAAAAAAAAAAAAAAAAAAAAAAATCCAAAACAACCTTGATTTTGTAAAGCCTTTACAAAGTCATTACAAATACAAATCAATCAAAACCAACCTTCAAAGAAACTCTCTATAATATGCTCTCAAACCTTACTTTTGATTAAGTAAAGAATACTTATATCACCATAAGTGCGTGGTTTTATGCCTCAAGATTTGATTTCAATCCTAGTTCACAACTGGTCCTCTCCAAGTATCAATTTCCAAGTTTTTAAGATAATTTTTACTATAAACTTTTTTTAAACTTTTTTTTAAAATTTCTATATTATTTATTGTTCTAATCTATTTATTTTTTACCTTATTTATAGCTATAAAAAATAAATAGAAGCCTATTTTACTAAATAAAGTATTAATATCTTTTTTTTTATCTTCTGGACTACTGTCTATATTTCTAAGTTAATTTGTTATAATATTTTGAAGAAGCTCTTCTATAATAATAACTTTATTTTTCTCTTTTACGTAATAGACATGCTACAATACACCATTGTAATCCCTATATCATCTATCTTTGATTAAGTTCTCTTCTAAAGGGCTTAGATTATGAGAAAGTTTGTCCAAATCTCAATTAGTAATGTCTACTTGATGCACAACTTCAAAGTCATACTTTTAAAGCAAGTAAGCCCATCTAACATGCTTGCTAATAAGTTTGTTTAATTCCATGAGCCACTTCAACAATTGATATTTAGTCACAAATATAAATCATTGTCCACATAAAATAAGGTTGGGAGTGAATAATAGTCTAAACTGTTGCCAAAGCTTCTCTCTTATAAAATAAATAGTTAGAATTTATATTGTTATTACTTCTAGAAGAAAATACAAGAACATATTCTTCCTCTCTATCATCTTTTTATATCAAGAATATTTTCAATCCTATTATACTCTAGCTTGTGTACAATTGAAAAAGACTAATACATATTGAAAAAGTCAATATAAATAAAATTTTTATTATTTTTATATAATAATTATATATAATTACATATAATTTTGTCTAGATTTTTTTTCAATTGTTGTTGTGACTAATATAGTTTTTACTTAAAGAAGAATGTATTCTATTTCATAATATTTATTTTATGTCTGAAATATAAAAATCCTAATACTTATGGAATTTAGTAACCCTGTGAATTGAAGTTAAATTCTATATTTATTTTTAATAATAAAAATATTTATTTTAAGTCTATAAAATATTTTTTTAATATATTTCATTTTGGTAAGATAATTCTACTTAAAATTATTTGATATATATATATATATATATATATATATATATATATAACTTCATATTCTACTAAAAGAATTATCTTATATTTAAAAAATAATAAGTTTAATATGTGAAGCCCCAATTATATAATTAAATATACTTAAGTATATTTAAATATCACTTTATAAGAAATTTTCTACCATAGAATTTTTTTAATTTTTTTTTTCTCTAATTGAAACAAAGATATACATATAAATTCACATTTTATAGTGTTGAAGACAATATTTGAATTTTTGCTTCAACTTGTGAATGAAGAATTTAATTGTACTTTGAAATACTTTCTTCACTTCAATACTAAATACCTAAGTCCAATCAAATATATTCTTCAAATGTAGAGATAAATAGATAATATGTTCTCAATATACAACCAAATTGGATTGTGTTGATTTACATTTATATCCCGTGTCAATGCTGAATAACATCTTAATTATACTATTTATATTTATTTATTCTTTTATTGATAAATATAAAATTATTGACATATTTTCTTGTTAGTTTTTATATTATTCTTTTGCAATAGTAAAAAATTATTAATAACTTTTTATATGTTTCTTTCTAAAATATAATATTTAATATTTTTTCTACTATCAAAAATAATTTGGAACTAAAGGAAAATATTACTTCATTTTGTTAATTATTTTGAATTGTTAAGTTATGAACATAACAAACTGCTAAGATTAGGGACCAACAAAACTTATTTATATATTTATAAAAATATATAAGTTATAATGAAATTCTCAAGTGGATGAATCAAGTGAACATTCAAGGTCACTGGTGTTTCAATCTAGTCCTGGACATTTTTATTTTTACGTTTCGGCTTTGAATACTTCTTTTTAATGTTACATAGTAAACAAACATTCAGGTGTGAAATCTCGAGAAGGTAGATCGGATGTCCAAGTTGAGCCTCGTGCTTAAGTACTAAAAATGGACTGAGTATGTGGAAATCGAGTCTGGTTCCCTTTTTTAGGGATGACTATTTGTTAAACATCTGTGAATGCTCCAGCGGCAAATCTGGGATAATACTAGTTGCTGATATCAGCACCTGGAATAGCAGTCTCATGCTTTGCACATGGGATGCGAGATAGGGAGAAAATGCTTTCTTGTGATAAATAGTATTGTCACTTTTTGTTGAATTTTTCCCACAAGCGACATTAATGAACTTCGCACAGAGTCTCACGTCATGCTACAGGTGGATATGTCAACAGCCTCAGGCTACTCAAGAGCACGATTAGAACCTACATAACCCTAGGGGTGAAGCCTACATGTGCGTGCAACTCTTCGCCCTTGGGCTTAAAGATACGTCGGCGCATCAAGAAGGCATTTGTGTCAAGGCTGAGGTAGTGAGTCTTGCTCGATTTGCTTTTTAGTTGCAGCTCGTAATAGGTTGAAATCATGATGAATCTGGTACAGTAACGCCTGAGAATTCTTGTATTGCTTTGCGCAGTGAGTCATGGAGGCGATTGTCATGAAATCTTCGTCGACGTTTGCACTTCTGTGCGTGTTGGCATTGCTGTTGGACGGCAGCGCTGTCACCGCAACGACCATCGATAATGTTGCAGTGCAGTGGAACTCACTGCTCCAATCAATCATCTGCACTCGAGGCATCCTATTCAATGATGCCAGTGGCTATTTGTCCCAGATGCACCTGGCCCAGTGGCATGCGCTTCTGGCTCTCAAGAACACTGACCGCTGCAGTAACGGCGCCACTGAAGAGGCCGCGGTAGCGTACGCAAGTCGTGCCGTGCTCGTGCAGTATCTGGGCTTCGACACAAACACCATCCTGGATCCGTTCTTGCAGAATCAGCTTGAATCGCTGGACCTCTCCGCTTCTCAGAAAAAAACTGCCAAGGAGATCGGTGAAGTGGTGGCGTTGCGGCTAGTGCAGTCTCGAGTGGGTGGTGACTTGGGGAAGGATTTCGTGTTGGATGCTGTAACTGATGCACTGGATGAGTCTACTCCTGCACCTGGAATCTATCGGTACCAGAGCACCCCGGGTGCTGCTCCTTCCAGGTTATTCTCCCAGCTGGGGCAAACGAAGACTTATGTGCTGCCCAATCCGGTCGCGATGAGGAAGCACTTTCTGAAGAAGTACAAGCCCCCCGCCGTGCCCTCGAAAGAATGGGACACTGAATACAATCAATTGAAGGACATTGGTCGCGCAGATTGGCCGGGGCGCACCCCCGAGATGGATAATCAAGCTAGTTTCTGGTTCGGAGGACCGAAGAAAGGCTCCCTCTGCACTCAGGACTCGTTCTGGAATGCCGCTGTCTTAGCTCTGTTACCAGCAGGAACCTCCCTCTACGACACCGTCGAATTGTACGCGAAATTGCACGTCTCTATACATGATGCGATTGTGTTAGGGTCCTCTATGCAATGGGCATTCTGGTTCTGGCGCCCTCCAACGGCCTACAAAACTGGAGACCCGGGTCACGCCCCACTGCCAAATTGGAATGCATGGTTGGATTATAACGCCCACCCCGAGTACCCCAGCCTCACCGCGGTGATCACAGCCGCAGGCGCTAGTGTGGTGCAGAAGTATTTCGACCGCAAGAGCATGAAAGTTAAACCCTTCACTGTGGTCGGAGGCAGCCTTGGCCCAGTGTGCGACACGTCGAGCCCTGGGATCGGTCCCAGACACTACGATTCCTTATCAGCAGTAGTAAAGGATGCACAGCTGGGCCGCATGTACGCCGGTCATCATTTCAATGTGTCTGTCACGGATGGCGCCGAGATTGGAGCAATTGTGAGTGAGTATGTGGATATGCATTGGACTGAACCTGGTGGTCCATCGGGCGTGCTTCCTGATGCCGCGTATCTGAGTGTCTTCGCCCGCGTGCCGTCGAAGGCCGGAAAATCTAGCGACATCACATACAAAGTCTAAGCAAGGTTTCAATCCTCCGGTTGATGCGTAATCGATCAATTGCTAAACATGGGGAACCTCCATTCTCAATCAGAAACTGAAACAGTTCACAAATCTATTGACTCCGTGTACAGTGTTTTACAAACACACATAATGGACAGAAAAATATGAATTCTCTGCTCTCTGGTGTGGCTTACTTGCACTATACCTCTCTTGTGTCGATCTGTCGTTAATTTTTCTTATTTGGTTACAACTAGTTGCAAGTCATTCTTTCGTCACACAATGTTCTTAGTGCATTTATGCAAGTCTTCTTTTGGTGTGGGTTGAGCATATTTTATAGTATGAATTATGCAGTCGTGTGTTAATATATGACGTAGAATACGATATAAATTTGAATATTTATCATAATTGAGAATATGTTAGTTTCACAGCGGCTTTGTACTTATTACTTTTTAAATGTTCTTGAATGAAGAATCTATTATGTAAATAGAGATCATAAGACACAACAAATTGGAAGTACGAAATCAATATCAAGTGTGCTATCTAGATCAAATAAGAAAGCATAAGCAACATTCCTTCAAGGAAAGATGGAAAATCTGAACACAACTTAGTCAGGCTATCTCTCACATCTCAAAGGGGGAATTCAAGAATTCAGAGAAAATTCTAAAACTTTATTAAATGACTAAATCATTATAAACAAGCATAATTTTACAAATATAAGGTCAACTAACAAGGTCGACTAACATAAAATACTAAAAATAAAAACCCACTTAACAAAACTAAACTATACTGTCATGTAGAACCTAATCCCACATCATTTGACATGTCACTAACTCTTATTATGTAATATATTATTCAAGATTTTTGAAACATAATAAAAATAAATAGATAAAAATCTCTTGCAACCATTTGGATATAATATCTTTTCACAAATTATTGCTCTATAATTTTACAGTATATTGAAGGCTACAATTGTGTCCAATGTACTTGTGAATGATTAGAACCACATCATCATCACAATAAATGATTGTATAATATAAGAGAAACAGACACATGAGGATATTTTTGTGCACACCAATATCTCTTTCTAGGGCTGAGTGGATAACAAGTTGATGAGATTCAGATTGCCTATGCTACTTGTCTTCAATATTGACAAGAACTTCATCTACACCACTTTATCTACTTTATCTACATTTGTATTTATTGCAATCTACAAAGCTTCACTGTAAAAACGAATTTTTCTCTAAAACAACATTGGAAGAACTTCAGTGTGGCTTCACATTGGTGTACCACCAATGTAGCACACTCTTAAGCCAAGACACAAAGCGTTGTAAAAACATGTCCAGCTGGTGCAAACCAATGAGAACACTTCAACCCATATTCAGTAAGCAATGTTGTGGAAACTCCATCATAAAAAAGCGCATCGATTTCATTTATCAGCATTGGGAAAAGAAGCTGGTGCGGGGCAGGACGTGACCAAGGCCTTGCTGACTTGTGGCGACCATATTCCAATCGTCTGTCATTTGAAATGAATCATCAGTGCTCGTTGACCTTAGGGAAAGGTGTTCCGTTTCAAGATGCGAGGCGTGGTTGGGTTGCAGAAATCGGTACCGGACGGTGAATTTGCTATGCATGGATGTCGTGGTTGTGCCAGTTGGGCTGTCGCTTGACTGGTTTCTACCGATTCTCGCATTCCGGCATGTAGTTATGGCATCTTGCCTCGCCGGTGGCTTGCTTACGTTTGTGATCCGCGCTTACGTCGGTTTGTTTGTGGGCTTTGGGGGATTGTTGGTGTCATGACGGGATCAATGCGGTTCTAGGATATGGAGCGAGGAGTTCTGTGGGATTAGTTCCGTGTGATCGTTGATGATCGAGGAGTTGGGAATCGCTGTGAGCCGAAGTTCGTTGCAATTTGTCTTTGCTAGTGACGATGTCGATCGTCCGTCACTTTTATTCCTCTGACCGAGGCGGTGAAGAAGCAGGTGATGAGAGAATAGCTGGATTGACATTTCTGCGAAGGAGAGGACATTGAATTGTACAGGGAGTTGATCTTAATTTTTGAATCAACATTGTAGAGCGGGAGATATAGCCTATAGGGTTTGATTGTTTTTTCACTGTTTTTCGTCGGAAGCTTTCACGACTTTTCTCTCCCTTTTAATTGTTGGCACATAGATATAACCTGCTGAATGCATGATGAATCCGTCGAATACCATGTGCCCGGCCCTGGCTGCACCCAATTGTAGTACATTCACATGCTTGCGTTACTTCTTTGCTGGAGTTGTGGGACTTGGTCTCGTTGAATTGGTACTCGCTTTGTATTTGCTGAACAAAGTTTGGATAGTGAACTGTAGACCAAGACTACCTGTTAGCTCTGAGTCGATTTTGAATATTGACTGTGAAGACGGCTCTATCAGCCTTCAGGTTAGTTTTTCCTTTTCTACATTCTCTTTCTGATGTGCAGCATGAGCACCAGTATCCTCTGCTTCTAGTGGTAATTGTTGACAGTGATCATAGGTTTGCTGTGTGATTCTTAATGTGGTCAGATCATGAGTACCTATTCTACTTTCACTTAACTAAGGCGCAGACTCGCAAACGTAGTTGAAACCATGTCGATCACGTGTCCTGTCTGAGTTTAAGAATGTAATTTATGTTCAGGGAAACGCGTGGATAGCCCCATTTCCTGACGGTGATTTGAGCAAACTAGTTATAAAATATCCTCGAAAATACAAGAAGAACAAGGATGGCCAAAGAGTGGGTTCAAGAGTTGATGGCACGTTAGGGGATGTACTGGAAATTGCTCCTATGTGGAGGCGCGCTTCTCTGAAGAACAAGGTTTTATTCCTGAAAGCAGTTGATGGAACTACTGAAGAAGTCTCGCTCGAAGGCTGTGAAGTATTAAGCGTGTCAAGTAGCCCAGGACCCAACCGCAAATGGTGCTCATCTTCGTAACACATTTTCACTAATGGCTTACATTCTTTTCTAGAGGTTGTTCAGGATATTATTTACATGCCTTGTATCATAACACAACAAGAAAAATGTCAGTTTGAGTGATAAGCACTTTGTGCGATTGCGCAGTCGCTTGTCGAGTGGTTCTATTGGATTGACTTGCATGCCCCTGGTCGTCACCTTTAAGATTCAACTAGTGATCCTTGTTTTTGTGATTGACTATGAGCTGCTTTGTGTATGTTGGGTGCACAATTCCTTTAATTGCAGGGGAAAGAAGTTCCCAATCAAGCTTCACCATCCAAGTCGTGACATATACCGGGGGTGTAAGCAATTTCTATTCTATTTAGAGTCAGGATTTGCGAAGGAAACTTGGTGTCAAGGATTTCGAGCTGTAGCCAGTCAGGGAATAAGCGATTGGACTCTCTTGATGAAACGTAGGTACAAGGAATATACTCGAGTAGCTGAAGGAAACATGCCATATCTGACTAAGTTCTATTCGGGAGGCGAGGATCGGCTTGTGAACTTCAAACAGGAGGAGGCTGAACGGCGTAAAAAGAGACGGATAATATGGAACATGTTGGCGCGGCGTGTTTCAATCGGGAATGGTCACAAGAGATCAAAATTCGTCATTGCCGTCGACGAAATTCAGCGTGGAACAGAACCTCTTTCTCAACAGCATGATGACAAGAACAGGAAAAAAAAAGATACTGATCTCCATGAGGGTCGTAGCGCCACTAACCCCTCTTTTTCAGAAACCGCAAAAGTTAATGATTCCAATCATGTCCATGACTATCGTTGTACACTTCCCGAAAAGTTGCCAATCTGTGAGCCTGATGTGAATGCCGGTGAAGGAAATAATCCTGCTTCTGGATGCACCCAGAGCGACGATCTTGATGAAGTTTCTGCAACCTACCGGAAGTTCCAGAAATCAAGGGGGGGCAAGGAGATCGAACAAGGAGTGCTTTGCCTGAACATGATTATTGCGAGGCTTTACTTTGACTTCAATCAAAGTATAGAACGGCTCGCAAGTGTAGATCGGTTTTTTCAGGTGTGTTTTTCCAATTGTAATATCCTCACGAACACGTTTGTTGCTGAATGTTATGACTACAACTGATACGTGCTTTTCTTCTGACTTATTTTTCTTCAATTTTAGTGCAATCTATCTAGGGTCCCTGCATGATTTTCACAAGTGAGCAGTGACTAAACTTTCACAAGTTTAAAATTTGATACAGTTATGTCCAAACCTGTAGTCATCTTTGTTGCCGTTGTCGCAAATAGATGACCGTCCCCTGGATATTAGCTCGTAATGAAGTTACCTAGCATGGGTTGCTAACCTTCGGATGTGGTTGATTATCAGAACCTCATTATGAAGATAAAAATTCCAAGCTACATAAAATCAATTGATGTCAAAGAATTTGACCTGGGGAAAAAACCCCCTTTTGCGACAGCCATCCGTATTCTCCCTGCAGATGCTGAGGGGACCATAGCTATGGAGTTGGATGTGGAGTGGCATGGTGGGGGTTATCTCACGTGTGAGACACGTTTGGATTTGCGAGAGCAATCAGCACAGGAGAATGTTGCCGTTCAATTGTCTGGATCAAGGTCAGAGGGGGATGCTGCTGCAGCAGTACTATCCGGTATACGAGGGGACTTTGGTTTGACAGGTTCATCAGATTTGTCGGCTGCCGTGCAAAAGGCAACAGAATGCAATCTTTCAAACAGCTCCGAAACAGGTACTGGAATTGTAATGATAACATTTAATTCTATTTCCATTTTCGTTTGCTCTTAGAGTATTTTTGTGTATCCTTTTTTTGAACAATCTCTCCTTTATCGTAGAACATGTTTACTTGTAATTCGAAGAATACATGACGCATGCTCGAGAAGAACTATGTCTACATCTAACACACAAGCATTGAGTTACATGAATCTAAATTTCCTTGCAGCATTGACATCGAACATTGAGTAAATGGTTACGTTTACTAAAAAAATAGAGTGTTTTCGGAAGTATAGTCAATGGAATCATTATTGTACATTGGCTTTACAATAAGCTTTGCAAACGCATCCTGGCAAGCTACTTAGGTGTACTCGAAGTACCTTGGCTTCTGTTTATAGGTGATGAAGGAAGTAGTAGGAATGGAGGGTTGAGACGACCATTTAAGAGCGTGATGTCTCGTGTCGCAGATCATGTTTCTCAGGTTTGTACCTCTCTCGCTAGCTTCATTCTAGTGAACGTATTTAATTGCTTCGATTGATGTAAATCGATAACATATGGCCGAAATTTCCTTAACTTTCAGTTGAATTGGAGCTACTTTATTATCCAGTGAACACTCATCTCTTCTGGATATCTCTATAATTATTGCATGCGGCTGAACAGGTGCCAATAACCTTGAAGATCAGGTTAGTGTCGTTGAAGGGAACTATCGTATTGAGGCTGAAAGCTCCACCATCAGATCGGGTTTGGTTTGCATTTAAAGAAGAGCCAGAGATCAACTTTGCACCAGAGCCATGTATCGGTGAGCGTCGGATCAGCAGTACTACATTGGGAGCATATGTTGGTAAACTCATTAAGGTATAAAGCAGTTGAAAATTTCTAAACCTTCCGTTGTAAAGGGTTCCTTTTGTAGCAATCGCTAGTGTGAATATCTACAGGTCTGTGAAGTTTACATCTGAACTTAATTTTTCGGTGGAGACTTGTTTCTGAGCCCATCTATCCTATTTCAGATTTAATCCGCTGGGTTTGCATCGGACTCATTGCTGATGAGACCTTAGATCTTGAACGGAAATTTTTTCGTCGTTCGATTTATAATTTATACATTATAATAAACCTAGCATTTGAACTAAGCTCAACACATTCCTTTCTATTTTGACCAACTCCTTGTATTACCGCAGGCACGAATTCGGGAGTCTGTTGTCATGCCGTTTTGTGAAAGTTTTCATCTTGATTGGATGGTAGCAGACAAAGACAACTGGCTACCTCAAAGCCAATTCCCCTTATCCTTCTTTGTGGCGAAATCCTGGGAAGCTGAGCGCCAAGCCTCCAAACAGGAACTTGAAACGTCTCATTCGCCTTTAAGGGATGTGGCATGTAGCCCTGATCATCAATCACTTTCTGGCTCACAAAGCAGTGACAGCGGCCGAAACAAACCTCCCAAGGCTCAACCCTTATGCTTTCGCTCTCGTTCTCGCTCTCAAAGTGAGTTGCATAGAGACTCATCCAGACTACGGAAAACAGCATCATCATGAGCCAGCCACAACGGCGTTTCAGGATGTCATTCTTGAGGAAGAAGGACGGAGCAATGCTGCAGAAAAGCTGCACCGCAAGAGACCAGGCGATCTGGATGGTTCGCCACACTCTCAATGCATGGACACATCTGCACATGAATGCAAGCACCTCATGGTTGTAACTGATCTGCTCTACATCTAGGTTTTGATAACCGAGTTTCTTCGGTGGAAAGCATCATCTGGAGCGTATTCAATGACTTAGCAGATTGGCATAGAAGCAATTGGTTGTTCAAAACAACAATAGCGGTGATAAGTGAAGTGGATATGGAACTGGTTTGGACCCAAGTGAGGTATACAAAGAGTTGATGATTTCATAGGTTTCTAGGGGTTAACAGCAAGTGGGTGCTCCCATACTCGGTTTCAATTAAGAGGTATTTGAGGGGCATGGTCATTGCCAAGGGAATTCCCTCGAATGGAGGTCTGATAATTCCTTTGGCAATGATTTTCTTACAATTTTAATTTTATTCAGTTACGTTGGTTGCCGAAGATATTCTAGCTTCATTATAAACTTGAACAACATTTAACACTTATTACATGTGCTGAAGTCTTCGCTATATATTTATTACGTTATATCGAAATGTAAATTTAAATAGTTGTGAATGTCTGCATGAAATAAGTGTGAATAAACGAACAAATACATGTCCTTCCAAGTAATTATTTGGTCATCACTATTTTTTTTTGATATTCAGGTGCAAATCCAAAATTTGCACTAAACATTAAACTTTGCATGTAACATGAATATAAATGAGACTCATTCAGTGCATTTGTAGCCACAAAACTCATACTTTTTGAAAAATGTTTTGTAACCATAAAATTATATTTTTCTATAATTAAATAAGTAATTTCTTGTGTAACTTAGCTTTTTCAAAACTAAAAAAATATCAACGTTGATGTAGTCATTTACATTATACCTTTTTTGGTGATTAAAAACTACTAGAAGTGAATTTGTGGTTTTAATTGGTGTCATCAATAAATATATATATATATATATATATATAATCAAGTTTATAATTTTTTTATTTCATTGTACGAATTTCATGATGTCTTTTTTTTATATCTCTTGCTGGAGAAACATGGAAATCATTAATATTTTACAAAAGTAATCATGGATTAATATAAAAGTTGGAAAATACATGTATAAAAGTTCGATAATCATACTATAATATTAAAAAGTATATTTTAACTGTGTAGCAAATTTACATACAAAATTTTAATTATCTATTTAGAAAATATTTTAAATTCTCTTAATGCACATAGTCGGATACACATCTTGATTACAAATACATCAATTGAGAACATAATGCATGTTCATAAAAATATCAACCGTATTGTGGACGCAGTCTCATACAAAATATAATAATACAAGATAAATCTAACGACTAACAAACAAGCTCAAAGTCATGATTATTTAACAGCTGCCAATCAAATAATCTACAACCTTCCACTTTCTAGTCATGTTCATGTTGTGCAACATTTGCCCATATAATCGAAAGGCTCATTACATATTTTGTTCCTCTTATATCTTCTATCCGATAAGCTTACTCAAATGTGTTTTAGTGACTACTGACCAGTGACAATACGTAACAAACTATCGTAGAGAATACCCCTGCAACATTACAAATTTGAACGAAACATCCAACTTGGTGGGATGTAGTAATTATGGCACTCCCAATTGATACATGATCCAACACAGTAAGGTTGTGACATAAGGTACATGACAAAGTTGGTGCGGTGTGATCAGTCTGTAGACGATTCAACTGGGAGGTGTGTTTTTACTTCTATAGACAATCGTACTTAAGCTTGCACATAGAAGTGTATTAAACAGATGGTTAGTTATGGCATGACATTTTGTTCAGTCCGCTGTGTGTCCACCTTAGATAAAGATTACAATACCCTTAAATTGAATAAACTAAGTCGTAAGCACAGTTGTCATACACAGCCATGTGTAAATGTCTATAAGCTACATTATTCCATCAGCTGTGCTGCACAACAGCATCAATCAACTTTTGTACAGACGTCAGAGGCCACGCAAAGCCACCTAAACCAAAATTCTCAAGTTGGGCATGCATGAGCCACCAAATTCTGCTACACAATGAGCACCTAATCGGCTTCATGAGTCTGCACCTTCCTTCTTTTTTTGGCGACGCTTCTGATTCTTCAAGGCGCTCTTGCTGAGACCTGCGGATGACCTGTTAATAAGCGCACGCCACTGAATGGATTAAGAATTTACAAGACCATATTGTCAGAGTACCACCAGACCACAGAAAAGGGAATACTCAGGTAGAGTATAGGAACTGTGACCACTGTGTACGAGTATCATACACTGGATTTGAGTACACATTCTTAGATAACTGCCTGGACTGTAAAAACGAAGTAAACGAGGTAGCTGGGAAGGTGAAGATCGCTAACCCTGTGCTAGCTTTAGATGTTTCGTCAAGTCCAAGCAACTGCAAGTGAAAATAAACACTGTTATACTAAACTGGTAATGCACGAAAAAAATTACGAGACACCAATCATTTTATAAGCATGGCACTGAAACTTGGGTGACCACATCAGCTAAAAAGATTCCAAAGCATATTGACGTCACACAAACTCATCCTCATTAACATTCTTCTATAAACAAAAAAAATGATCGGAATTACCTGAGCTTTAACAGAAGCTGCCTGGCCAGCATGTGGTGGACGATATGCTCCTGGTTTAGTGCCTGCCGAACATGCCAATTGTATGTGATCATTTGAATGCAGCATTAATGGCATGAAGCAAAAATTATTGTCTTCTTGTTTCCTTAAAATAGAAATTAAATCAACAATAATTCAACCTCATCCTATTGGACCTCAACAGCGTCTGATACTCATTTATAAATATTCTTAGACCACAGTGAATATCTCCAAACTAATGTGTGCGTGTATGTGAGTTCTAAAGTCTAAAATACCATAGAGTTCCGTGGTATAGGAAGTCTAGACCTCACAGCAACAAGGAAAAACGTTGGCGCATACCTGTCCTGGGTTGGACAGTTTTTGGTGCCTCAACCTTGCTTTCAAGCTTTCGGGCTCCTGGAGATGGGGGTCGGTCTGGGTAAACGTCGCTTGAAGCAGGGCGCCATTCAGCCTGGAACACCCCAAAGGACGACCGCAAAAATTAGTACTCTGATCTTTGGAAACTTTCGCTCCAAAAGCAGTATCAATCGAAACCAAAAATTCGAGCCATACAAGAAGTAAGGAGATGGCCAGAACGGCATTCGGAGAAGAAAAAACCTGATAAAGTTTGTCATATTTTTTCTCATAGTGAGGGGTACCATCATATTTAAACACCTTGAACCTGTTCAGCAAACAGACAACTCATTACTCAAATCTAACTACAATAGTTGGTTTTTTAATTTTTTTTAAAAATAAAGTCTACAAAGACAGGAACTGATCAAAGAGATAACCTCTGAAAAATTGGTACAAAGATGTTGAAAAAAGTTCACCAATTTTAGGAAAGGGCCAAATAAGTACCCATTGTCTACTTGAAGACGAGGCGCAGTAGTGGCTGTCATGAAATAGCGGCCATCAGGAGACCATTCAGCTGTAACGGTCACAGGAGCTTTTAAGGTGTGAAAGCATTTCAGACTTTCTCGATCCCAAAAGGCCTGTCCAAAAGAAACATAAACATATTAACTACCCCATAATTTGATGATGCTGTTCAGCCACAAGCGAGTGTATATGATCGAAAAAGTTCACTGATACTTACCACGTCTCCTGGAAGATTCCCAAAACCCGCCAAGCAGATGACTGCAGTTGATGTTAAAGGCACAATCGAGATGGATTCTTCAGATAAAAAACAAGAGTCTAATGCTTTAAGCACGACACTCTTAAACGCAACGTCATACAACACAACTTAGGAAATCACAAAAATGGATTGAATGAAGTCATTTATCCTATTCGTCTCTCTAAACCATAGAACTCTACTCACGGAGAATAGATGAGGGAAGTCGTGTTTGAACCAAACAACAAACTTAAGGTGTAGCAATCCTGCTTCATGTACAATACCCCAACATTGATGGGTCTTTCATAAGGAGGATACAACTGCCTTGAGGATTCCACCGCAAATAGTTGTAAGGGCCTTGTCCGAACTCAAAGAGTGGCTTGCATTGAACATTGAATAGGGTCACCTTTGCAGGCATAACTGCAAAAATGTCAAGGACTAACAGAAACCAATATAATAGTCACAGAATCTACTGCAAGTGTAAGAGCCAGAAATTAGATAGAAGCAACTATATATATATATATATATATATATATATATATATATATATTAAATAAACTGATAACGGCCCTCTTCTGCGATGGAAGTTCGCAAGGTATGAAAAAGCACAACAGCACATGATTTGGCAACCAACATCTAACTACATTCAAAAAATACCACTAAATAATCGTTAAGCATATATACTCATTAAGTATAATTGGGCAATGCTAGTAACAAGTGGATACAGCCATAAACGACCAGAAATTCTTTGCCGTTTGGAGACCACTGCACGTCATATATTGGACCCTCCTTACCTGGTACATCAAAACAAGCACAACAATTTGAGGGGGAAAATCGGTCACATGCTTGAAATTCAAAGCATTTTCCAGGTGCGTATCAAAAAAGCATATGAAGCACATAACCAACAATCAAAAAATATTACTTCACATCGATACGAAAGATGGACAAAATATCATGTTGACTAAAATGATTGCCGGTGACGAGAGACCCGACATCAAGGGAACGCACTCAAAGGTACAGCCCCTTCATGGCGGCCATCGCTAGTCAAATAGTGCAAACGCGACTCTCCATAGTAGTTCTGGTTAGTCTTGTCGACATCTGACTGAGCCAACACCAGTAGGCCTGTGGAACCTTTGTTCCATGATAATTGAGCTGTATTTGACTTAAAAAAGCTTCGTCTAGCAACCGATTGTGCTTGACTAACATTCGCAAGTTCGAATATACGTACATTAGCTGGAGCACCCTGGCACAAGAGAAATGAATGAGCTAGAATAGGTAAAAGGCTTCATACATATTGCGCATTGACATCATTCAATACTAGCAAGTATGCCGCTCTCACTGAGTTCACCCTTCCATGCAGAGCACCAAATTTACAATCTCCAGTTCAGGAGAAGAAAGTGACGCCTACAAGCGACTCAAAACGAACAGCATTAAAGATAGTCTTCAATAACATAAATCTTAGATAAGGAGAAAAAGGCATGTAAAATAACCTTAATCTCAGGCACGTACGCGGCAATGTGTGAGGCAGGTGAATGTGCAAGCTGAACACCATCAATTCCTGGCAACCGAAGCCGATCAATGATGCCTTTCGAGAAATCATGCCCATCAAATATGTGTACTTCGTTTGTCACTAACCGACATGCAACACTTTCATCATCGCTGAATTGGATAACAGGCCTGAAATGCAGACACTGAAATATTCATTCCTGGAGCCATCCCAATTGAAAGATCATGCAGGAAACGCAATAGTTTCGTACAAAAGACGCTGCAAGTGCGACTTCAAACAAAAAAAAGACATACTAACCATGAGGTTTTGGAAATGGCCTTCTGGAATTGCTGCAGAACAATAGAACCAGTTTTCGAATCCCACAAAACCAAATTTTTTTGCTGGCCTTGAGGCTTTTGGAAAGTCTGCAAATACGTGCCCAGTGGTGAGAAAACAGCAGACGCCACACCGGCTGCTGGTATTTGAATAAGTTCTTTGCCAGAGTCGGTGTCATATATAACTAGAGCATTTGGTGTAGTCACTGCTAGCTTGCTTCCATCGTTACTAAACTTCGATGCACTGCATGGTATCCTGCCCAAGCTCACATGACAACAACAACCGCACAGCTAAGTTCAATAAACTGAACCATCCTAAACCAGGAACACAGCATATCACAATTTGATTTTATTGCTACTGCTTCACCAAATTTTTAACCTGGACCAAGCTTCCCGAAACACTACCCTCCTGAGCAACACAAGCTCAACTAGATCCAGCATTGAGACCTCGCTTTCTCAAACTCGCCAAAAGACTATCGAGATCTCACATTTAGAATACTAATTGCACAGTGACCTTGCCATCCGCAAAAACTTCCCATCCTTATTCTCTTTTCTCGTTTCCATAAAATTTTCTCCACGCAATCAGATGAAAAGCAGATATACTGTGTGTGATTTTGTGTGTATGTGTGTGTGGGAAGTATATATATATATATATATATATATATTCATGTTGCAAATTGAGTACACAGAGAAGAAAATAGGAAAATCTGAAGAAGGTAAAAGCTCACTTTTCAAAAGTGGCTGCAGGCTCGCCACTGAAAGGCGGTCCAGTGAGCAGCGACAGTCCATTGGGGTCTCGAACTGCAAGCAGACCAAATGAACCCACAGTACTAAGAATCACCGACGCAATCCCAAATTTCTTAACCTATGGTATTGAATCGAAGGTTCAGTCTCCAATCGCTCATACACCATTCCGGAGCTGTACAACATTGCAATCAGTAAAAAGGAAAAAAGAAATGCTAGATTAGTACCAGTGAATTTGAGAGGCGGTACGGTGGCCATGGCGAGCAGCCACTTGGAAGACTGGATCGTTCGATCGATCAAACGATCGAAATGCTGGGTTTGGATAGCAATTTCTCTTCGCCTCTGTGCACCAGCAATTGTACTCTCCCTCCTCCCAAGCTTTAAACCCTAATCCTTCTCCCCCTTTCCACCGCCGTGTGAAACGGAATTTTTCTAATCTGTTTTCACTTGCGGCTTTTTCTAAACTTTGTATTATCTTTTGCTTTTCAATGGCGAAGAATCTTCGTTGTTTACCATCTATGACATATGCATATAACTAGATTCGTTCAGTTAGAATTAGGTCTCAGAAGAAATTTTATACATGGATTCAAGGAAATATATACCAATGATGAAAATGTTGGCCGGTTTTCTTGATAGTTTTTAAGGCAACAACAGCTCATAAAATGTTGTTACATCTGTTGCTGGAATCTCTAAATTTTCATACTTTAAAGATTATTTAGTGATTTCTTTGAAACATGGTTGTCTTTCCTTCAATATAATAAATTAAAAATTAAAAAAGATGAAATGGAAATGAAAATAAACACACCTTATATATATATATATATATATATATAGTTGTTATTGAAAGCATCATATTAAGAAAAAAAATATTCAATTTATTGAAAGCAAAATAGATAAGCAGATAAAAAATTCACTTTGTCATAGAAAATTAATTGTTTATAAACATGAACATACAACTAAAAATACACAAAGTTTTATTGAATGATACTTTTGGTAACTTTCATAAGTATATTTACATAATTTAGGATGTCATCTTTATAGCTTATAATTTATTTTCTTTTGTAATTATTTTTTTATTTTGTACATTCAAAAGACTTGTGTGTGAATAAAATATGTATATTTATATTTTCTTATATGGATGGAAGAAATACAAATTATGTATCAAAATATAATAATAATAATAATAAAAAAAAAAATCTAAGATAAAAAATTAAATGATTAATAGCAATGATTATTTAAAAACTAATTTAAACTAAATAAAATTAAACAAATTTTTTGGTACATTTTTATCAATCATGTTATATATATATATATATATATATATATATATATATATATATACATATAAAAATTAAGACATAAGCATATTAGAGGTTGTAGATTATCCATTTTTAAATTATTATTGTACTTAGAATTTTCTTTGTTCTTAAATCTTGTCTTATACTTATTTCAAAGGATATTAAATATCTTTTTTTTTTATTGTGTTATTAAAGTAGAGCTTATTAAAGTAAAGAGTTCAATAATACATTTGTAAGAAAAAATAAATGAATTAATGCTTATAATGCACCAATTCAATTCACCACTACAAAGAATAATAAGATTGGCTAAAAATAAAGATGTAGAGATAATTAAAACTACTTTAATATCTATACCATATTATATTATTTTTTCTATGGTAGAACATCATTCAAGCATTAAAGAGCTAAGAATTGTCTTACTTGAGAAGTTTGATGGTACAAAATTAAAGTTTTAACGATTCATCAATCAAGTACAACTAGTGATTGAGCTTCAACCTTAAAGTTATCAAACTTCAAAATCACAAGTTAGAATTATTCATTTTTTTTTTTTTTTTTTTTTAATCATGATTTTCATCTTTTCTTGAATAGTATAATCCAATGTTCAATAATTTGGAGGCATTTTTGCCAAAATATGAATCTATGTATAAAAAACATGTTATAATTTGTGCTGCAATTAAAAAGATTTATATTTTGTATCAAGAAAATTGTTTAATAATATTACATACTTCACAAATTCAAGAACTTGTAATTGATTCCAAATAAAATAATATTACATTTGTAAATCAATTTTTTTTGGAATCATAATATGATTTTAGAAAAAAATTGATATTGAAATTATTTGATCTTCAAACATTGGATCAAGTTATTGATTTTGTTGTGAAATATAACAATTGAATTTTTGAATTTTGATCTAAGAATTGTATAAGTAAACCTCAATGTTTCTACAATTCAATGGCAATATCAACATCTTTACAATACATACATTTGGAAGTAAAAGTCACAAAAATTGACTTGATATGTTTTAAACCTCTCATTTAATTAAAAAAGACTTGTCATTCTCAAGAAGGATTATACTTATATTATAGAAAATTTAAGTATATTGGTCAATATTGTCAAAAGAAATGATACAACTACAAAACAAGGAGCATGGCTTTTAAAAAAGACAATGTATAAAAAAATAATTTTATTGAATTATAATAAGGCTTTGTGGCTAGAATCTTGTACAATACCTAATAAAGGTTCTATTTTTTCTTAGAATCCTTTCTTTGCTTTACAATAGGTATTTGTTTACGACCTAAAAATTACAAAGATTTGAGAAAAACCTACATATTTAACATACTTTTTTATTTTTTGTCACTTTTCTTTTGATACAAATTTCTCAAGTTTATGCATCTTCTTTCAGTTCATGTCCTTGATAGATTGAAAATAGTGCACTTATAATATTAAAGCTTTGTCTTCTCTTAATTAAGAGTGAATTACCCCTTTTTTTTGATGAGACATAAGAATATTAGAAGTTACAAATTACCCTCTTTTAAACTGATATTGTTCTTAGTATTTTTTTTGTTCTCAAGTCCTTTCTTTTACTTATCTTCAGCAATATTAGACATTTCTTTTGTAAGTATTATTATCGTAGAGCTTCTTGAAATGAAAAATTCAATGGTAGAAAGATAAGAATAATTAAGAAAGTTGATGCTTGCAATGCATTAACTTAATTTATCACCACCATGAGTAACAAAAATGGCAAGAAGTGAAGATACAGACATGATTGGAGCAGCTTCAACATCTATATCAAATCACATCTCTTCTCCTATAATAGAATATCCTTCTATTTTTAAAAAATCTAGAATTGCTTTACCTAAGAAGTTTGATGGCACAAGATCTAAGTTTCGAGGATTTATCATCCAAATACAACTTGTGATTGAACTTCAACCTAAAAGTTATCCAACCTGAAGATCATAAGTTAGATTCATTGTTATACTTCTTTTAAGTTTGGTATTATCATGGTTTTCATCTTTTCTTGAATGATGAGATCCAATATTGGATAATCTAGAAGCTTTTTTGGCAAAATTTGATCTATGTATAGAGAACATGATGCAATTTATGTTGCAACCAATAAGTTTCATATCTTCTAATAAGGCAATTAATCACTGACATCATATACTTCATAATTTTGACAACCAGCAATTGATGTTAAGTAAGATGATATTGCCCTTATCAGCCAATTTCTCTATGGATTATAATATGAGGTAAAGAAATTAATCTTCAACTTATCTAATCCTCACACATTTAGTCAAGCAATTGACTTTGTTGTGAAGTGTAATAATTGACTTTTTGAATTTCAATCTAAAAATTCTACAAGAAAACTTTCACATTATTATAATTTAATGATAATTCCAATGACTTTTCAATCTAAACATTTGAAAGTAGAAGACATGCAAATTGATGTGGTACATTTTAAACCTCTTATTGAATAAAAAAAGATTCATCGTTGTCAAGAAGGACTATATTTTATGTTGTGAAGAAGTTAAGCACACTACTCAATATTATCCAAAGAAATGGCAGAACTAAAAAAATGAAAAGTATAACGGTCAAAAATGAAAAAATATGAGAAAATAAATTTATCTAGATACAATAGGAATTATGCAACTAAAATCTTATACGAAAAAAGTTTTATTCTCTCTTCAAAATCCCCTCCTTATTTTATAGTAGATGTACATTTAGAACCTAATTTACAAAGCCTCTGTCTTAATAGATTCAAGAGCCTCAGCTTTTTTCTTAAATGAAGAATTTTTTTTGTAGAAAGCCATGTGTCTAGTATAGCTAAATCCATATTTGTAGGTACAAAAATTTTCTTGCATGCTGTAAAAGAAGGATCTTCTTTTGTTATTTATGTTATACCTATTTTTAATAATAAATAGACTTCAAGTCATATTCTAAGTCAATATTAAGATTTTTAAGATGTTTTGAAAAGAAGAATTCAAATATTCTCTTAGAGTATTGTCTATATGATTACTGAATCGATCGTAAAGAGGGAAGTCAGCCACCATTTGGTCCAATCTATAGTTTATCACAAAATGAATTGACTAAACTTAATAAATACATTAATAAAAACTTGGTCAAGAATTTCATATGCCATTTAAAATTCCTTGCTGGAGCTCCTAGCTTATTTGTGAAGAAAAAAGAAGGATCACTCCAAATGTGCATAGATTATCAAGGACTCAATAAGATTACCATCAAAAATAGGTATCCTTAATCTTTGATATCTCAACTTCTTGATCAACTAAATCAAACTAAGATCTATATAAAAATAGATCTATGACGAACATACAACTTGGTCCATATTAAAGAAGAAGATGATTAATAGAATACATTTCAACTAAGATATGGGTACTTTGAATATAATGTCATGCCTTTTGAATTCACAAATGCATCAACTACATTTCCACATCTTATGAATGATATTTTTTGTAAGTTTTTAGATGATTTTGTTGTCTATTTTTTAGAAAATATTTTAATCTATTTTGATAATACAAAGAGCATGAAATTCATGTTTATTGTGTATTACAAAAACTTAAAGATGCGAGATTATATGCCAAGTTGGATTGAAATGTCATCTAAGTACTTCTTGCAATCATGGATTTTTTTTAATGATAGAATCATTATTTAGAAGGCACTTCTATTCTAATCACCATATATACGGATTATAAAAATCTCAAGTATTTTATGTCAGCATGTCTTTTGAATTATTGCCAAGCTTGTTGGAGCATGTCTTTGTTAAGATTTAAATTCAATATCACTTATTATACAAGAAAACAACAAGATTTATTTGATGCCTTTTTTAGACATTCTTATCTTATACCTAAAGAAAGAAATGTAGCTTTTGATTAAAAAAAGATAATTTTATTGAAACCAAAATAATTTCATCTTTGAGCAATAAAATCAACATTGATTGTTGATTTAATTTTTCTTAAGAAAATTCAATTAAGTATGTCGTCTAATCTTCTTGTTTATCATATCAAAAATACTTCTTTTAAGTCTTGTGATACTTCTAAGTTTAAGTTCAAGAACAATCTACTTTATTTCAAAGGAT